AGACTCAATTGGGAGGTCAAATCCGCTGTACCCTGGGTGAGTGTGTCACAGACTCAATTGGGATGTCAAATCCACTGTACCCTGGGTGAGTGTGCCACTGACTCAATGGGAGGCCAAAGCCACTGTACCCTGTGAGTGTGCCACAGACTCAATGGGGATGTCAAATCCACTGTACACTGGGTGAGTGTGCCACAGACTCAATTGGGAGGCAAATCCACTGTACCCTGGGTGAGTGTGTCACAGACTCAATTGGGAGGTCAAATCCACTGTACCCTGGGTGAGTGTACGTGCCACAGACTCAATTGGGAGGCCAAATCCACTGTACACTGGGTGAGTGTGCCACAGACTCAATTGGGAGGCCAAATCCACTGTACACTGGGTGAGTGTGCCACAGACTCAATTGGGAGGCCAAATCCACTGTACACTGGGTGAGTGTGTCACAGACTCAATGGGAGGGCCAAATCCACTGTACACTGGGTGAGTGTGTCACAGACTCAATGGGAGGGCCAAATCCACTGTACACTGGGTGAGTGTGTCACAGACTCAATGGGAGGGCCAAATCCACTGTACCCTATGTGAGTGTGTCACAGACTCAATGGGGAGGTCAAATCCACTGTACCCTGAGTGAGTGTGCCACTGACACAATGGGGATGTCAAATCAACTGTACCCTAAGTGATTGTGTCACACACTCAATTGGGAGGCCAAATCAACTGTACCCTGAGTAAGTGTGCCACAGACACAATGGGGAGGTCAAATCCACTGTACACTGGGTGAGTGTGACAGATTCAATGGAGAGGCCAAATCCACTGTACCCTGAGTGAGTGTGCCACAGACACAATGTAGAGGTCAAATCCACTGTACCCTGAGTGAGTGTGCCACAGACTCAATGGGAGGCCAAAGCCACTGTACCCTGAGTGATTGTGCCACTGACTCAATGGGAGGCCAAAGCCACTGTACTCTGTGTGAGTGTACCACAGACTCAATGGAGATGTCAAATCAACTGTACCCTGGGTGAGTGTGCCACAGACTAAATGGGGAGGTCAAACCCACTGTACCCTGTGAGTGTGTCACAGACTCAATTGGGAGGTCAAACCCACTGTACCCTGAGTGAGTGTGCCACAGACTCAATTGGGAGGCCAAAGCCACTGTACCCTGAGTGATTGTGCCACTGACTCAATGGGAGGTCAAAGCCACTGTACCCTGTGTGAGCGTACCACAGACTCAATGGAGATGTCAAATCAACTGTACCCTGGGTGAGTGTGCCACAGACTAAATGGGGAGGTCAAACCCACTGTACCCTATGTGAGTGTGTCACAGACTCAATGGGGAGGTCAAATCTACTGTACCCTGAGTGAGTGTCCCACTGACACAATGGGGATGTCAAATCAACTGTACCCTAAGTGATTGTGTCACACACTCAATTGGGAGGCCAAATCAACTGTACCCTGAGTAAGTGTGCCACAGACACAATGGGGAGGTCAAATCCACTGTACACTGGGTGAGTGTGACAGATTCAATGGAGAGGCCAAATCCACTGTACCCTGAGTGAGTGTGCCACAGACACAATGTAGAGGTCAAATCCACTGTACCCTGAGTGTGTCACAGACTCAATTGGGAGGTCAAACCCACTGTACCCTGGGTGAGTGTGCCACAGACTCAATGGGGATGTCAAATCCACTGTACCCTGGGTGAGTGTGCCACAGACTCAATGAGTAGGTAAAATCCACTGTACCCTGTGCGTGAGTGTGCCAC